CCCCCCAGCGGCGCCCCTGGAGCCAGCCAGGCCATGAGTGCTCCGGGGGGACAGGCTCCTACTAGGGACAGCAGACGCTACCTGGCTGCTTTGCGCTCGGGACGCAGCCAGTGAAGGCCAGCAGGGCCCCTGCGCCGAGCTCCCGAGTCTGTTCCCGAGACGCAGCTCTGCTGCACAGCGGCATGGCCGGAAAGCCCCAAGCCAGGAATGGATCCATTGGGAAGAGAGTCCACGGCTAAATGGGGCAGGAGGAACGAGCACGGGGCCTGTGAGCAGGGAGAGCTCCTACCTGCTGGTCCGAGTAGGCGATAACAAGGTTGTTGGTCACAGGGTGGATGGCGAGGGCAGTCACTGCACAGCTGTACGTGGGCACCGTGCAGTGATGCTGAAAGGGACAGGAGAACAAGACCCTGATGGGAGCGAAGAGGGACTGTCTCTGCCCCGCACACGCCCACAGCATCTTCCCCATCCCTCCTGCGATCTCTCCTTCCCTTCCTGTGCACTCAATCCCAGGCCTAACCCAGAGACGCCAGGATTGCTCCCAGAGATGGAGGTTTATGCTGAGCCCGTGGTCTCCTCCCAGTGGGGCTGGAGGCATCCCAAGGCAGAAAGATGGCAAGCACCTTTCCTGCTGCTCTCTCTGGTGCGGACTCTCACCTTGAAACGTTTCAAGTTGTAGATGTGGATTTCCCAGTCCCCACTGGCTGCAGCCAGCCAGTTCCCATCTGCACTCGACGCCAGCAGGTAGACAGCCTCCAGGGTCCCTGCGAGAACAGCACCCACCAGCTGTAACGGGTGCTCCAGAGCCCGTTGAGGACTGCAAACCCACCCACAGGAGAGGTCCCAGATCTGCGTCCCTCCCGCCGATCCGGCCAGGACGCTGGGCTACGTGGCAGCCGCACAGCTTGCCCTGGGTGCTCTGCTTACCCATCCGTGACAGCACTAGGATAGCGACATGAACAGAGAGCAGAGAGGCTGCCAGGGGTGGGGAAAGGACCCACAACCACCAGCAGAGGAAAGAGCAGACACGCTCAGCCCTGCACACCCCTCTGTACCCACAGGAAGGTGCTCAGAGAGGGGCCGGGGGGATAGAGCCCGGGACCCCAAGACCTGCTCTCCTCCCTATGCCCCCGCTCAGCACAAACCCAGCAGCCCGAACCTGATGGCGGTCGAAGCGTGTGCAAGTGTTTGCAGCCCCCTGGTTCTAGGAGCTGGAGCATGTGGACAGAGCCTCGATCGGAGGCGACAAAGAGACTGCTGGAGTCAGCAGAGCACTGGAGCTGGTAGGCCGGGAGCAGCAGCTTGGGTACGTTGGTGACCTTACGGAGAAGGGAGAAAGCAGACCTGGCAGCTACCTACCACTGCTGACAAGCCTTGAGCCTGCTCAGGCTGCTGGCACTATCTCAGCAGCGCCAGGAGCAACCCTCGCTCCCAGTGCATCAGCACGTGGTCCCACACGGGACAACCCAGCTCCCCGGGCAGCGCTGGCTCCCCAGGACCCCACAGCCACCCACCCTCGCCCTGGCAGCGGGACGGCCTGCTACTCTCCTCACCTTCTTGATGCTGATGCTGTCGCCCTCATATTGCACTCGGTAGAGGTGGAAGCGGGAGGCTGTGGAGTAGGCGATCCAGCTGCCGCAGGGGGAAACGCAGCTGCAGTAGATGTGCTCGGGTCCCTGGAACCACAGAGGTGCTGAGCAGGGGCTGGGCAGCCTGCGTGACCCCCCTGTAGTTAGTCCTGCCACACGAAGGCCCAGCGGGGCTCCCCCTGCCCTCCCGGAGGGGACACGGGGCTGTGGTGGCAGGGAGAGCTGGGGCAGGCTGTGTTTCCCAAGCGGCCTGACCACGTGGAGGCCTCCTTGCAGGGCTGGGCGCTACGGCAGGTCTCTGCTAGCGCACGCAGCTCATCCAGTCAGAGGGGAGGAGGCGAGGAGCGCCAGAGAGCACCTGTAGCAAGGACGGCTTCCCCAGCCAGCTCCCTCCTGCCACCCAGCAGAGGCAGAGCCCCGGCCTCGGAGCTTCAGCCCGGCACCCTGAAGGTGATGGACTGACGTGGTGACAGCTCTCAGTACGAGGCGGCGCAGCCCTGCCCTGCTGCAGCCCAAAGCACGCCCTCCTCTGGGGTGTGAGGACAGACTGCGTGCGAGAGCGCAGAGGAAGCCTTCGGCACAAGACCTCTGCCCACGGAGGGGCACAAAACACCAAACTAGGACAAACTCACGCTGCAGACCTTGTCTGCCCCACATCTTTCCTGGTGCTGCAAGCCTGCTGGCCCCCAGCCCCTGGCCTTAGCAGCATTCGCTCAGCCTTACCTTGCTCTTGAGCTGCACAAGGTGCTCAGGCACGCGGCACACGGGAAGGACCTCACCGTCCTTTCCTGGGACAAGAAACAACCACGCAGCGCGTGAGCGGCATCGGAAAGCACACAGAACCTGTCAAGCCGCACGACCGGGGATCGCGAGGGGAGCGGTGCCGCACCGAGGGACAGCCCAGGCCCTCTGGCCTGGCCTGCCACTGCCTGGCCCCGAGGCTGAACTCCCCAGCACGCAGCCTGCTGCTAGCAGTGCAGGTAGAAGCAAGTGCGTGCTCTCATCAGCAGGGCCTCCAGGCACTGTAAACTCTGCTACAGGGTTAAAGGCGGGGGCTTTTGAGCACGACCCTGGGAGCAGAGAGGGCCACGCGACTCACCGGTTTCATTGGTGGAGCCAAGTCTCCAGAGCTCCAGGTGCTGTGAGAACTGGAAGAGAAGGAGCCGGGCTTTTCTGGCACAGGAGACGAGGCGTCGCTGCAGTCAGAAATGGGCAGGCTATCATGAACCCGAGGCCTGGAAGAAGAGGCTGGGCCAAAGCCAAAACACCCTGGGGCGCTAGAGACTTCGGGGAGGGGGAGAGGGAAGAACTAGTCTTATGGGATGGGAGCCGGGACCCAACAGGGACAGCAAGACAAGCTTGGCAGCTAACTTCCACCTCGTGGCAGGAGCTTCCCAGGCTGCTCAGCAGCAGGCCTGAGATGCTGCTCAGGGCAACACTCACGTGGGGGAAGGTGAATTTCCGGAGCGCTGCCTCGTAACCTTTCTTCTGCATCTTCTCCATGAGCGGACGGATCACCAGCTGGGCGTCCAGGCCTGGACACCGAGCAGAGCTCAGGTGAGCAAGCACAGGGGTAGGGGCGCTGCCACTCAAGCCTTGCTCGTGAACATGCCCTGCAGCCCATACCTCCAGAGATGAGAGCCGTCGGGCTGTGCGCCACAGCTCGCACGTCGTGGGTGTGATGCTGGAAGGGCTTTGTCCGCACCCAGTGCTTGTCCTGGCTGCCCATCTTCACGGGCAGCAGCTGAAACTGGTACGTGGCCCCTGCTGAAGTGCCCACAACGATGCTGTCTTCTTTCTGGTGAGGAAAACAGAGCCGCCGTTTGCAGGGTGCAGACTGCCAGCCCTGCGACCACAGACCGCG